GGCATCTCAGCACCTCCTTTCATTATTACAGAAGGGGCCAAATCTTGGAAATGTGAAACAGAGGTCCAATGCTGGCATTGAATCATTGGAGGCACATGGTGAGACTACCGTGCAAGACAGATCTAAGAAGGAAGATAACAATAGTCATGTTTCAGGGAATACACTTACTCTTGAATCACTTTTTGGAACTGCTTTTATGACGGAATTACAATCTGCACAAGCTCCAGTTTCAATTCAGAGGATTTCAGTTGGTTCTGGACTAAATGATTCTCAGGAAACTCAAAAGTCGTCATTGCCTAGTTCTGATGATACCCTTTCTTCTTCGATAATTGATGATATTGGACTGAGAGGAGCAACGAAGGAGAATAACGTCTTACCTTCAAATTGCAGAGATCACCCAAAGCTGGATAAGGCAGAAAACTGGTTGGGATTCAATGATTCTTCGTTTGAAGTCAACTCCTTAAAGCGCCAAACTGAAGCGCTGTCCAGAAATGGTGATTATCGGGCTGGTGAATTTCGTCTACCTGAAGGAGAGAGCTTATTTAGTGTTGGTGATCCTTTGGTATCCCAGGTCCCAATGCCAGCAGGAAATATGAGTAAAGGTGACCTGGTGACTGTTAATTCAGTTGGCAGTGATCAAAGGTCTTTGGTGGGTCCAGGGGCACTACCCTTTCCACGAGTTTCTCATGACCAGATTGAGTCTGAGATGCTTTTTCACCATCTTCGTGCTCAACCATCATCTTCTCAGTTTCATCCTTTGCAAATGAGTCAAGGGAAACCATTACTTCATCCATTGGATTCTCGTCCTGCACATTTGAACTCTCAGATTTTCTCTGGTCCAGAGGGCATGATTCAGCACGATGCTCTTCCTGGTCATCAGTTTGCCGGAAGTATAATGAGACCTCCATTTCACCATCCGAATGCTAGGGTGACAGGATTTGATCTTCCTGCTCATCATCCTATGTTGCAGCAGATGCAAATGTCTGGAACTCACCCCCCTCATCTGCTCCATGACCGTCTAAACGGTGGTCCAGTTCCTTCACATTCCAGTAATCAGGCTGCTGGCGTTGTGCATGAAGCTAACCCGATGCAAGGGTTCCCTTTTACGTCTCACCAAGTCAACATTAATGGACTTGGGATGCAAGTTCCAGGTAAAGCCTTGATGTGCCGTCTCTACTGCTCCATGTCTGTGTCTTGTTCTTCTTTGGCTGACACCTCAATATTATGTTGCTCATCTCTGATCTTGCTCAAGTTAAAGCAAAGAGTTTCTTGATCTTTGCAACAGCTTCTGCTTATTTCTTAGTTCTATTATCGCAATGTTGATATTGCTTTCTTTCCTGCTATCCCCTGTCTGCACCATCTCACTAACATGGTTTACTGATGGCAAAGACATAAGCCTGAATTGCAGCTTGTTAGGATTTTTACTCCGTTAGTTACTGCCTCCATACACATAACTGTTAAATGTATTTCCACAACTTACTCATTTTTCGAAGGCTCTCTTTCCTGTTAGGCTTTGAGTTGTTATCAAGTCGAAATTTATGATTAACATGACCAAGTGGTATGCTTTCCATCAGTAGCCTTAGCTTGCCCTGGAAAACCTGTAGAATAGTAAATCATTTCTCCTCAAAAGAAGTAGGTATCTGCTTGTTCTTTTTCCTTTCCTTTTCTGCAGAGTTGTTTTCGTGGTATACTGGTGTTACTACTCCCCCCCCCCCCCC